GGCAGAACAGCTGCACAGAATTAGAAAGTGGCCAAGAAGAACTAAGGAGGACTTTCTGTGTGAGGTTATGATGCACTCGGCCGCCGAGAAATAGGAATTGAAGAAGTGCAGCACAACGAGAAGAAGGACCGACGGGAGAACGCGGCACACAAAAAAGAAGCCACAGAGCGGCTCCTAACAGTTATGGAGCGCCAAGTGGACACGTTCCAGCCGATACTAGCTCTGCAAACCGAGCAGGTCCGCACCCGCCCTCCCCTGAAACCGCTGTCGCAAAACTCTTTCCCATGCGCCCCCCCACACACTGCCAACACACTGTTATCAACCTGGCTCCACTCTCTACTCGCAGCATTCCACTCCTCCCTCCTCACAGTCCAGCAGTGTGGACTCCCACTACCCACTGCACTCAACACCCAGCCCTCTGCAGCTTGGCCCTGCTGAAGTACAGTACCCACTGCATTGTACTCCAAAGGAAAAGGTTGGGTATGATCCCTGGACATACACAAATCTGTAGCCATCCTGGGACCCCTCCTCCTCTTAAAAACTTCCCCTCCCCCTCCCTGCTGATGAATTTTTTTGTTTGACTCTCTCCTTCGGTTGTTGTCTTTTAATAAAATAATTGTGTTTGTTTGAAAGCAATCTTTATTCTATTAAGTGAAAGCAAAAATAGCACTGCAAAGCAGCATACAATAATGTTAAGGCCCCTTCTTGCATCATGTGCACCAATCACCTCCTAGCATTACAATCACTGCAATCCTGAGCATAGCAACAAAAATTAGTGTCTTTCATCTTCAAATTGCTGCCTCAAGGTATCCCTGATCCTTAAGGCCCCGCCTGGTGCCCTTCTAATAGCCCTTGTCTCTGGCTGTTCAAACTCAGCCTCCGCGATCCAGCCCTGAGTGAAGCTTTCACCCTTTCCTTCACAAATATTATGGAGCGTACAGCACATGGCTATAAGCATAGGAATATTGTCATTGGCCATGTCCAGCTTCCCATAGAGGCAGCACCAGCGGGCTTTTAAATGGCCAAATGCACACTCCACAGTCATTCTGCACTTGCTCAGCCTGTTGTTGAACCGCTCCTTGCTGCTATCAAGTTGCCCCATGTATGGCTTCATAAGCCATGGCATTAAGGGGTAGGCAGGGTCTCCCAGGATCACAATGGGCATTTCGACTTCCTCTATGGTGATCTTCTGGTCCGGGAAGAAAGTCCTTGCTTGCAGCTTCTTGAACAGGCCAGTGTTCCGAAAGATGCGTTCGTCATGTACCTTTCTGGACCAGCCTGCGTTAATATCTCTAAAATGCCCACGGTGATCCACAAGCACCTGGAGAACCATTGAGAAATACCCCTTGCAATGAATGTACTCGGTGGCTAGGTGGTCTTGTGCCAGAATTGGAATGTGTGTGCCATCTATCATCCCTCCGCAGTTAGGGAAGCCCGTTTGTATAAAGCCATCCATAATGTCACCCAATGTCATGCCCAGAGTCACGGTCTTTCGGAGCAGGATGCGATTAATGGCCCTGCACACTTCCATCCACACAACTCCAACGGTCGACTTTCCCACTCCGAACTGGTTAGCAACCAATCGGTAGCAGTCTGGAGTAGCCAGCTTCCACAGTGCTATCGCCACGTGCTTCTCCAGTGACAGGGCAGCTCTCAATCTCATGTTCTTGCGCCGCAGGGCCATGGTGAGCTCAACACACAGTCCCATGAATGTGGCTTTCCTCATGCAAAAGTTCTGCAGCCATTGCTCGTCATCCCAGACATTCATCACAATTCGATCCTGAGCCCAAAAGCAGCGTTCCACCTCCGTGAATGCCACAAACAATCTCCTGTCATAGCTATTACGCGTGGTGAGATCAATGTCGCACCTTCTTGCCTTTGTAGTTTAAGGAATAACTCCACTTCCACTCGTGACGTGTTGGTCAGAGCGAGCAGCATACTGGTCAGCAGTTCGGGATCCATTCCTGCAGCCCGAAAGAGGCAGGGCATGCAGTACACAAACTGTTGAAAGATGGCGCCAAAGGTGGACGGAAGCACAGGGATTGATGGGATGCGAAGCAATGCATCACGGGGCATTGGAATTGGACCCAGGATGCCCCGCGACCAGGGCCAGCTCTGGCTTTTTTGCCGCCCCAGGCAAAAAAGCCTCCCGCCGCCGCTGCCCCCCCACAGCAGGGAGCGCCGGGGGGAGGGCGGCCCCACTCTTCCTGGCCGGAGCGCCGGGGGGAGGGCGGCGAGCCCGGCCGCAGCCCCGCTCTCCCCGACTGGCCAGAGCGCCGGGGGAGGGCGGCCCCGCTCTTCCCGGCCGGCCGGAGCGCCGGGAGGAGGGCAGCGAGCCCGGCCGGGGCCCCGCTCTCCCCAACCGGCCGGAGCGCCGGGGGAGGGCGGCGAGCCCGGCTGGGGCCCCGCTCTCCCCGGGTAAGCGCCGCCCCCTTCCAGGTGCCACACCAAGCAGGTGCCTGCCCGCGACCCTCTCTGCTTTCCCACATGTCTTAGCGGCAAAAGAGAAAGAGATACTCTGTGGGATAGCTGCCCAGAGTGCACCGCTCTGAACAGCGCTGCAAGTGCCGCAAGTGTGAACACACTGTTGCGCAGGCAGCTGTCAGTGTGAACACACAACAACGGTTTGTTCCCTTCTGCGCTCTCTGAGCAGCGCTGTAACTGCCGGCGCTGTAACTTTGCAAGTGTAGACGCGCCCGTAGAAGAGAGAGCTAGAGCTTTCAGGTCTGGTGTTGGCAGGCTTGGGGGTGGTAAGCTAAGAAGCTGCTCCTTTTGTTCTTGGTTCCCTCTGTGGTCAGAGAAACAGGACTTTGCATATTCTTTTTAAATAAACAAGATTACAATAAGAATATACCAAACTCCATCAATTTCTACTTCCAACTGGAACATCCCCAGTGCCCCCACTTTGATTGACTGCTTGGGTCAAAAGAGCCAACATTAATTTTCCTCTCATGCCTTTCACTGGACATCATCCCTCCACATTAAATCTGAGTGCCCTTCTCGCCAGTCTCTGATTGGCTGCTGGCTACACTGCTGACTTACCTAGTAGGGTGTCTTCCTGGGGAGAAGTGACAGTTCTTAGAACTGTGGCAGAGACAGTGTGCAGCTTTTTTCCTCCTCCTTCAGCAGCTTCAGTGATGTTTTTCTCTTTAGCCAGTCGTGCCTTCAGTAGTTTGTTAGCCTCATGGAAGGCCATCTCCACCCGAATATCATTTTCCTGTATTTCATAGAACAAACCTGAGTGGGGACAAAAGAATTGCACAATGAGGAGTTGTTGCACCTATTCCACTCTGTTCTGTTGGATTCCATACTCCTGCTCTTACAGCACCAGAGCAAGCAATGGGGATCAGGACCAAAATAAGGAGCAAAATCAAAGGTCTACAGAGTTTATCAAAAGGTACATATTCAGTTGATCTCATACCTAAGAGAGTCCAGGACAGGATGCTGGATGGCTCCAAGCAGGTGGCATCCTCAAAGAAGATTTCTGCCTCTTCATAGTGCTCCATCATGACAGCTATGATACCACACAGCAGCAAGCTAGAGATGGTGTCAAACAGGTTACCCACAAAAACTCACAACTGATTAAATCAGTGACATTAAACAGACTCCTTTCCCTGCCACCCCTCCTAGCCAGAACCAGCAGTACCTGTGCAGGTGACTTGGATTCAGAGAAAGAGCTTCACGAAAACACTCCTGGGCTTTGATATTTTCCTCCATCAGGAGGCAGAATGCCCCATAATCTAGCCAGTGCTGGACAATCTGGCGGTCACGAGCCAGCCTCTAGATATAAGATACCATTGCTACAGTTAGGATCCCTGGAGTTTTAGCTGATGCCGAAGAAGTTCAGAATGAGGGTTCCAGTTTTATGCTAATCTCCCTTTCTGTATCTTCACCCCAACATTTGGCTGCCAACTGTCAGCCTTTATTTGCTCTGAGCTAGAGTTTCTCCTAAACAGGGATCACGACCAGTATCAACCTTCAGTCTACCCACCTTCAGTCTTTTTGCCTCCTTCACCTGGCAGTAAGGAGCAGAGAGTTTTTCATCTTTAGCCAGTCTTCTTGTTGCTTTTCCTTCTAGCTCTCCTTCCCCTCTTGTTAGGTGACATAATCTTCCAATTCTCGCTCTAGCTGCCTTTTGTGACAGCTCATCAGATCCGTTCTTTTCCCCTCCCCATCAGGATGAAAGCCCACAATGACATGGTCAGCCTCTGTCATGCTT